AAAAAAAAAAAAAAAAAAAAAAAAAGGAATACAGACTCTTAGAAAAATAATTACAAATAAAACCTTATATGTGTAGTTGGCTTCGTAGTGGTGAGAAGTAGACAATGACCAACCGGAGAGTTAGAGAGAGGACATGGGAAGTGTGTCCTTGGATTTTTCTTTTCCTTTAATTTTATTGTAGAGGTGTTGGTTGGTGAGACTGCAACTTGAGAAGCTGTTGTGTGTGCTTTCAGAATGAGGCTCTCTAAATTGACAGTATTTTAGCAGTATTTCAGAGGGCATAGGGTAGTGAAAATACAGGGAATCTTACTAGATCTTCACTTCCCTGCATATCTTGCTAGGATTTGGCATAGAGTAATTATTTATGGTGGAGTAGTTAGCCCTAAAATTTGAAGAAATGCTATCCTATTTAAAAATAATCATCCATCCCAGTTACTGCCCTCCCCTCTTATCTGCACAAACGTACATCTTGGAAACTTGTCTAGATGAATTGCCTCCTCTTCTTTACACCCCACTCACATGAGTATATCTGGCAAAAATGTTTTTCTTTTTAACTGAATAGTAAATGTATAACTGACATTCGAATTAAAGCACAGGAGGAGAAAACAAATCTTAATAGAAGAAATGAATACTTGCCCTTTGCTTAGGGAGCAAGGAGAACATGCAAGTTAAATTCGGAAAAGCCATTTGGAAAATTCAAGTGACATAAAGAATTTTTATTTGGTATGTTTGAATTTCTAAGAAATCATGAAATAAATCATATCATCTTTCTAGGTGCTATCAGCTGCCTCGGCTACAGGGATTTCTGTAGTTTTTGGTGCATCAATTGGAGGAGTTCTTTTTAGCCTGGAGGAGGTAGGTGAAAAGAATACAACCATTAAAATTATATGTAATTACCATTACAAATATATTTTAGCACACATTTGTTTTATAGGTGATGTAATAGGTAGAGACTTTGTTTTCAAACTTATTTTTCTAAAGTTGTTTTCTACTAATTCTTTCATAAAAAGTAAATGCTATTCATGTTCCATGCCCAGAGGAAATTTTTTAAAATTTATTATTTGTGTATAAATATTAGTAATTATTTAAAACCTAACTTTACTTTGTTGACATATTTAAAAGTAAGAAGATGCGAATTTGACTTAATAGAGGACATGTGAAACAATCTATTCTCAATGGCTTATCTGTGTAATTTTAGTAGAGATAAGGTTTTGGCCAGTCTGTGTGTGTGTGTTTTATTTTTTTAGATGGAGTTTTGCTTTTGTTGCCTCAGGCTAGAGTGCAATGGTGCCATCTCAGCTTACTGAAACCTCCAGCCCCCGGGTTCAAGCAATTTTCCTGCCTCAGCCTCCCAAGTCGTTTTTATTTAAAAATTTTTAATCAATTCCTACGTTGTATCTTAAAGTTTTTCCCATGTGATTATTTCTGATACAGTTTAAGGAAATAATTTTAGTCACTTCAGTGAATTATTTTGTTTTTGTTTTCTTATTGGTGTTTAAGACTTTTCTTTTTACATAAAAATGTGACCAGGAATGGTTTTTTTTTTTATTTTTAAATATTTTTTTTTGGACAAATACCAGATGTTTATGTTAATGGGGTATAATGTGATGTGTCTATACATGTATACATTGTGGAATAATCAGAGTGATTAGCAAATCCCTCAAATATTATTTCCTTATGGTGAGAACATTTAAAATCCTCATTTTAGCTATTTTGAAATATATAATACATTATTATTAACTGTAGTCACCTTACTGTGCAACAGAACACTAGAACTTTTCCTCCTCTGTAACTTCATACCTGCTGACTAACGTCTTCCCTTTCCCTGTTCCCCTCCCCAACCCCAGCCTCGGGTAATTCCCATTTGACTCTCTACTTCCTTGTTTTTTTTA